TCTCTCTCTCTCTCTCTCTCTCTCTATATATATATATATATATATATATATATATATATATAAATACACACAGAGGGAGACATATTACACACAGAAAACTGTTAAAAGAGCATTATGGTTGCAAAGATGAGCACTCAAAAGTTAGGAAATAATAGAATTAAGTTTGCCTGTCAAATTCAGTTGGGCCCCCTTGTGTGTATTAGTATACAGTATTTAGTTACATGATCACATACTGTTTTTTCCTCAGGACCCCTGCTTCAGTGTGCAGGATAGAAGGTGCTCACTGAATGAGCAGTTACTCAATCATTGATTTTAATATATTGTTCAATGTGTAGCCTCAGGCCTAATTTATTTATTTACACTATTCAATGTCAGTTCTGTATACAGAAATATTAATTTCCATATATATTTTGTTACCAAGTTCTTATACCCCATACTTTTCATCTTCATAAACATAGCGATGACTTGTGACTATCTTCCATTGCTAACTTCTATTCAAGAGCACACATCCTCTTGTCTTCTCTTGATCTCTCAAATGTTAAATATGATATATCAATGTATTTTATAATTCTATATATAAAATACAAATTATCTTAATAAAGGAACCAACAAGATCTGTACATTAATGATCGTGAGATATATTTTTATGTAGTATTTAATGTATTCCTCAATTTTCCCCAAGCCCTTCTCCCCATTTTTTTATGTCATCCCTTGCTGTCCTTTTTCTAGCTTAGCGCATGAACCTCAGGGTATGCTCAGACCCTGAGGATCTAACTCTGCAAACACTACATGCACGAGTGACTTTATATATATGAGCCATCTCATTGAGTTCAGTGGGCTAACTGGTGTGCATTAAATTAATCTTGTGCAAAGTACCTGCAGGATTGGTTTCTGAAAATTGTACCTCTCTGGGTCAGAGGCTTGTCTTTTTGTATAGCTGTAAAATATCATGCACATATGTGGCACTACTGAAATAACATTTTACATAGACAAGGTGGGTGTGGTAATGTCTTTTATTGGACCAACGTCTGTTGGAGAGAGAGACAAGTTTTCAAGCTATACAGAGCTCTTCTTCAGGTCTGGTAAGGCTATTTTATATTTCACATAAGCTTTTGTGAAGTGAGAGCATGTTGCTGATCAATATGGTATCAAACTTACTTATGTTTCTTTCTGATATCCTCTAACTGTGCTTAAAAGTAAAAAAATGTGTAACTGAATGAACTGCTGACTCCCCTCTCCCCCTGATTCTCGTAGGGAGATGAAGGGCCTCCAGGACAAGCTGCTTTACCGGTAGGTACTCCAGAAAACAAAGGAACAAACAATAAAAAGCAGTGGGGGGAAGGAAAACACTCAAGAAGTGGGGCTTTTATTTGCAATCCAAACATCTTTCCTGTTAAATAAAAGAGCCACATTCTTGTTTCCAGATGTCTGTGCATTTTCTAAATGTCATATTTATCAGCAGGTAATTCATTGTAAGATGGGGCACTCACGTCTTAGTTGACACTGAATAGGTAAATGGAAATGTATAAACATAAAAAAGAAAATAGCAATATTCAAAACATCCTGAAGGTGTTTCCCACACAACTTCAATGAGAATGTCCTTTTTTAACCTGCTGGCTCGTAACATGCATGTTACCAGTGAAAGAACTAAACTGCTGATTTTCAGTAAAAGCTTAGAATGCAAATGAAATTTGCTGTCTAAAGATAATGTGATTATTCTATCAGCTAGCTCATTTATTAAGCATTTATTATTTAGTTGAGGCTGTGATACTGTTGCTTCTGTGACATAATATTGTGTTTCTGTTTTCAAAATATTGAAACTTGACATACAAGGCCTGATTTTCAGAAAGTTAAAGATTGGCCTTTGTGCACACAACTATAACAATTGCTTGTGAAATTTGCTTGTGCAAATGGAGGATTTACATGTATAATAGTGATAATTGCACCAGAGTTGGTATGCAATTACATGTACATAAAATACACGAAGCTCTTGGGCCTCATCTTTCTGACAATCACACTCAAAGTCTGAGTTAAGAAGCACAGCTGAGATCAGGAATGACATTCCGTTTGGAACTCCTCTACATAAAACAAGAGAAAGTTGCTGGCAGGATGCATTATGTTGGAGGTTCCCTGTTTTGAACTTGCTCTTTCACTTGGTCTGCCAAAGCTTATATTTGTGAATCTTCCAGGAGGGATGCAAAACCTTTATTTCCCCTTTTTCCCTGCAAACTGTCAAAGAGGGAGTGGGTTGAGTTAGAGGTATTTAGGGGCAGTCTTTCATAACTGCTATGGCAAGGGGACAGGAGGGACTCTGCAATAGCTAGTACCTAGCCAATGCAACAATTTAAATATTAGAACCAGCACCTTGAAATTGATCCAAAATTGAACAGGCCAATGCACAGCCTGGAGCATAGGAATTGCCTGGTTAAAGTGGATCAGAATAATAGTCCATTTACTCCAGCATTCTTTCTTCAGCAATGGCCAGTATAAGCTACTTCAGAGGTAGGTAAATGTCATAGAATAATCTGCCCATACTGAAAATCTATTTCCAAACAGCTGCTAGTTAGTTTGGCTTTTGGCCTGAAGCTCAAGTGCTTCTAGCCCTTCAAAAAGTCTGGGCTTTTTTATTCTTTACTAGTATAACTGGATACTCTGATAGGTAGCTTTTTGGCCTATCATGTTTAGGAACATAGGAGTACCCATACAGGATTAGACGAGAGGTCCATCTTGTTCAGTATCCATTCTGCAATAGTGGCTAATATCATATGTTTCAGAGGTAACTGTGAGAAACCCTGTAGTGGAAAATCATGGAATAATTGTCTCTCTACAAGAGAAGTTTCTTCCTAAACTCCGTCAGCGAGTGGTTGCCTGATGCCCTTAATCATCACTTTCTAATTCTATCCAACATCACTATGAATGTCCTTATTAGCTATATAAACTAGCTAGTAAGTCATTTTTGAAGATGGGACATTACTTGATATTTGTGTTTCATGAATGTATCATTATTGAGTGGATTTCTACTTGGCCTATGCCTTCAATCCTTGGTACAGCACATTCCATTAGTCTAGCCTGGGCATGACAAACGGGTGAAGTCACATAGCCAAGCCCTGTTTCAAGAGTAGAGGGTGAAGTCTTCTTGCCAATTGAAAATGAAGGAAGGCATTTTGGATAACTGGTGCTATACTGGGTCTAGGTACAATGAGTACAACAGAACCCTGAGCTTGTGCATTTTCTTAACCACTGGTGGCCACATGACCTTGATACAGAGTGAGTTTTTTACAGTTCATCAAAATGCTTTTCTCTTCCTACTTACATCATCTCCATCTTACCTGAATTTAATTTGAGTGAGTTATTTTTTATCCAGGTTCTAATTTTTTTCTGACTCCATGAACGCTGGAAGACAGCATTGTCTGTGCTAGAGGAGAAAGACATGTAGAGCTGTGTATTGTTGTTTGTTGTTCATATATAAAATATATTAATAAAAATCCATACTCTATACTGTTGGTCCAAATGTCTAAAATTTAATTCTGTCATATTGCCCTCTTAGCCTTTTCCCTCACTCTGTCACATCTAGCAGGGCACCCTAAGGGGGAGAGCAAATTCCAAAGTTAATAGTGCTTCCTCCAGCACCCACCTCCCAATTTAAATCAGGGGCACTGTCACTCAAATGCTTCAGCTAATGCAACATCATATGGGAAAGTTCCTTAAAGTAATCAGGAATTTGTAGATTAAAATCACCAGGTTACATTGCACGTGGAAATTAATTGAAAGGCATTGCAGTCTGTGAAACACTGAAAGAAACACCATTTAACTATCTTTTGTGAAGCGTACATGTCAAGGGTTCCTTCCCCTCTCTGAACTCTGGGGTACAGATGTGGGGACCCGCATGAAAGACCCCCTACACTTATTTTTACCAGCTTAGGTTAAAAACTTTCCAAAGGCACAAATTCCACCTTGCGTTTAACAGTATGCTGCCACCACCAAGTGATTTAGACAAAGAATCAGGGAAAGGACCACTTGGAGTCCTATTCCCCCAAAATATTCCCCCCAAGCCCTGCACCCCCTTTCCTGGGGAAGGCTTGAGAATAATATCCTCACCAATTGGTACAGGTGAACACAGACCCAAACCCTTGGATCTTAAGAACAATGAAAAATCAATCGGCTTCTTAGAAGAAGAATTTTAATTTAAAGAAAAGGTAAAAGAATCACCTCTGTAAAATCAGGGTGGTAAGTACTTTACAGAATAACAAAAGACTGAAAAACACAGAGGATTTCCCCTCTAGGCAAAACTTTAAAGTTATAAAAATAGGGATAAACCTCCCTCTTAGCACAGGGAAAATTCACAAGCTAAAACAAAAGATAACCTAATGCATTTCTTTGCTATTACTTACTATTTCTGCAATATTAGATGCTTAGCTTAGATATGGCTTAGGGAGATTTATTTTCTCTGCCCTGGTTCCTTGTTGACTCTGGAAGACACAGACAAAAAACCTTCCCCGCACAGATTTGAAAGTATTTTCTCCCCTTATTGGTCCTTTTGGTCAGGTGCCACCCAGGTTATCTGAGCTTCTTAACCCTTTACAGATAAAAGAGGAATTAACTCTTTACAGGGTAAAGAGGGATTTTATGCTACCCTTAGCTGTATGTTTATGACAACATAGCACTTGTGATCACTGCAAACCTACTACTACTACTACTAATAGTATAATTCTGCACCACCTAAAGTTTGAAAGTTTGAGTAATTTTATGCAGAACACGTTCTAGTAATGTTTGATGTCAGAGCAATGTAAGCATTGCAAGGCAAAAAGATTGCAAAATTCTTCCAAGTGTACAAGATAAAAACCATTTTTGGCTACTGCTGAATATTGTTAGCGCATTGAGGCACTGCAGCCATTAGTGGCTTGCTGTCTTACCCAATGTGCTGAAATACCCATTGAACAGGAAGGGAGAAAAAATAAAATCCTGCAGTTCATTGCCTGAGCACTGTTAGCGTAGATGTGCAATCACCTAATGTACTTTGAGTCCTGTCAAAGAGAAAAGAACCTCTTGAGCAACTCCATTTATCCCTTTTTGTTTCTACAACCATGTTATTAAAACCACATAGTGAATGATATAAAAACAGTGTGGAAATTGATTTTTCATTCATTCCCAGAATGAGATTGTAAACCAAAAAGCTCACACTTTTGTACTTCTGTCAGGGTCAAGGAAGTCTCAGGACTCCTGGTAGTTCCTGTGCTACTGGTAGTTCCTGTGCTGCTACATTCCTTGTAACCTGCTTCCAAAAAGAAGATTTGAGATGGGGTGATAATTAGCAAAATCAGTGTCAAGGGATGATTTCTTGAGCGAGTATGTAACACTTCTTTAAGAGAAGCTGGCATCTTGTGCCCCAGAAAGGAAATGTTGGCAGTCCTCTCCACTTAATAGGTCAAATGTCTTTCTGTTAGATTTTATTAGCCAGAAAGAAAATGGATCCAATTTGCATTGTGATAGCTTGAAGCTCCCTGAGCATCTACAGAACCGCATTGACTGATGCTGGCCAAAACTTTCCAGAAAAGGCTTTTATTCTATGGAACTGAAAGTTCAGTTTGAATAAAATAACATTACTCCCAAAGTAAAATGAAAACTCACGGCAAGGTTATTGATGTTATCTGAGTGAAGACAACCAGGAATAATCACGTTTGTTCCTGTTCTCTCTCTACACTTACACTCACTCACACACACATATTCCACTGATCAAGATAATGTAGATATCATGATGAAAACACAGGTAAAAGTGTAAGCTCCATATTTTCCACCTTAATTCTCAGTCCAAACATGAGATCCAGAGTGTGACCAGCTGTTTGCATTGAGTCAGCCAGCCATCTGAGATAGCACCATGGTTTTCATGAGCTCCTGAGCTAACCCAGAAGAGCCATCATCCATACTGACATTGATTGTTCTGGGTGATTTCATTCTCAGCATCTCCACAGCAGAGAGGACCTCATTCAGCTCAGCAAGGCCTTCTGAGGTGCAGCAGGGATCTATGTACTAAAATCTACTATATCTCTGCTGCACCTTGGAATTTTCATAGTAGATAGGTAGAGTCTATCAGATCCAATTTTGGAGTAGGAAACCTCCCGATCTCTTGCAGTCATGGAGATGCAACCAACACCACCTCCCATGACCTGATGACAAACCGAACACCTAGCTGGAGATATCTAGGCTAATTATTGTCCTGCAGATCTTGAATATACAAGCAAAATCAGGCCCCGTATTTGTGATAAAAACTTGGGTGGTTGTAACCTCATTAG